TTATTACTGCTGCATTCCAGCTGCTAGTGGAGGTCACCAGCGTGATCAGTAGATAGGGTGTGTGTGTGTGTGTGTGTGTGTGTGTGTGTGTGTGTGTGTGTTTGTCCCGATGCGCGTCCAGCCTTGGCGGCGGTGGAGCACGTCACGGCAGCCGCGCCGCAACCAAGATGCGAGCTCGTCCATAGATCATCCCTTCTCTTCATCCAGCCGTGTGCTAAAACACATTTCAGGGATGACTGCCCCCCCCCCTGCCCCCGGGGCACTAGAGGCTCTCTACTGTACGCCGCTGGAGGAGTCTTTTGCTGAAATGTTGCCCCCTTCATGAAGCATTGTTCCTGCAGAGAGGACGGGGGTCCTGCCTGGATGGCCACAGACGTTGGACCCCCCCCAAGACACAACGGATCAATACCTGAGCACTGGGAGCGATGCACCACATTAGCGAGTCATCTGCCGATTATGTCCCCCATTGGTCAACCTCTGGTCGTTGTGCAGGTGGTAGGAAGAGGATGTGAGATGTTTGAGGGGTTTTTCTTGGTCTGATCCGACGGTGCAGCAGTTTGTCTTTTGTCTCATAAGTGGACTGATACTTAAGATACATCAGAGGACACGTTCCTCCATCCCTCCCCTCGCCTCTAAGCCGCTGGCCGTATATCTTGTCCCCCCCCCTGTCCCCCCCTCCCCCAGTCCTGCTCCGCTATCTGTACCACCCTCTCGCTAATGCGCCGCTCAATTAGCCTCCGATGAGCGTTTCCACTAAAGAAGGGGTCAATAGGTAATTACATGTTGCCCCCCCCCCCCCCCAGCTTCCTGCTAATCCACCCAACTTCGCTCTTGTCCGTCACCACCCCCCCCCCCCCTCCTCCCCCAGAGGGGGTCTGTTAGTCACAGCTGGCTTAACCCTTCGATTGGCCGCGTTCAGCACTCGGCTGAGTGCTCGGTTTTCACTTTCTTCAGCTCTATTATCTCAGACACTTTGTCATCCTGATGGAAAAACTGGACCCCCCCCCCGCCCCCCGCCCCCCCACTGGCGAAACGCTGACGGAGACAGCTCCAGGTGTTAGGAACGCATGAGACAGCGACAGGGGGGATTGTGCGCTTTTATCACTTTTAATGTTGCTTAAATAAATCGGGACAAAGGCGTTGTCTTCGGGTTGTCCTCGTCCATGGCGTCAACAGTAACAACATAAACGCACTCTGCTGCTGGCAGGCTCTTCTTGTTCTAAACGATATAGATTCTCATCTTTCATGTCTCATGGTTTTATTCAAACATGAAGTGAATGAAGGGAGGGTCACATGACGTAAAACCACCTCTTTATCATAAGCTCAGAGCGGAGGGGTCACGGAGGGTCCCCCTCTGTCCCGCTGCTGGGCCTCGCGTGTAGATAAGGAGGGGAAATGGTTTGCTGGGGGAGAGTGAGAGGAATCTGTTGGTGGGGAGAGGAAGAAGAGAGCGAGGCAGGCTGAAGGAAGGTGGAGGGGAGGAACTGATGAGTTGAGTACAGACAGACAGCCCGAATCCTCGTCTCAATCAATCACATTTCCCCCTTCCTCTGCTCTCAGTTTGTCTTATTGATTTCTTGTTTCTGCCAGTGTCCTGAAAGCCCGACTCAAATGACTGCTCCCAGTTTGTGGGGCTCCGTCTCGCAGGGAAAAGTCCCCTCTGGCCGTTTGTTCTCACAGGAAGGGAGGCGGAGTTCAGGGACCGACGGGCTCTTCGGCAGATGATGGAGGAGCCCATTGTCCTTCCATGTCCTTTCAGATAAACTTCTTCTTCACATTTATGTTTTAGGGAGGGAGGAAGTGGTGCCTCTCCACAGCAAACAGGGGTAGTACTTTTTTAAGGTATGTAGGGAGACGTAAAGCTAAAAGGAGCAACATGCTACGATTCGCTGTGACATACTTCCTGTAACATAAGACCCATCTCTGCCCAGGTGTTCCCAGGTGTTCGTCCCTCCAGAGGCATTAATTGCGCGTAGCTCGCCATGCACGGTCAGCGGGAAAACAAACACCGGCTGAAGGGAATGTGAACAGAAATGCATATGTCCACCTACAGTGACCCACTTTCACACACACACACACACACGATGCATACACACACACACGATGCATACACACACACACGATGCATACACACAGGCAAACAAACTCTCTCCCTTCAAGTCGTCGGCAGCTTTGTTTTTGTCTTTCATTTCCAGTCGGCTCGTCTTCGCTCCCCCGCGTGGATTCCTCGGTTCAGACTCCCGTGGTCGCTCACATGACTCGAGTCAGAGGGAGAGCCGCGTGCCCTCCGACAATCTGGTTGCGTTGTGAAACGTCACAGGGTTGGACGGACACGGGACGGCGGTGCCGCGGAGGGGGGGCGGGGGCCGCTCCATCCCCCGTCTTGAATCCCCATTAGCGGACGCGCTTCGATGGATCCGGTTTGGATCCCCGGCGGGCGGCTCGGCGCGTTGCACGTCGACTTCCTCCACCAGGAACGTGTGGACGTGTGTCCACGGGACCCCTCGCTCATCTTGTCTTTTCCCCCGTGCCGCCCTGTGATGCAACACTCACAAATCGTGTCTCTATTGACATTTGTATCCGTCTCCCCCTGTTTCAACGGGGCGAATAGAATAAGTTAATTACTGCGTCTAATTGCGTTTTGGTGGCCCGGCTTTTGGGAATATCGAATCAAATTAGGAGACGCAGTGTTCTTTTTTTCTCCCGGCACTCGGTTCGCCTGCAGCTGTATGCTTTTTAGGATCTGTCTTTTGTCTTTTGTCTCTCTCGGCCTCGACGTCCCTTCCAGCTGTACTACGCCTTGGCTTTGTAGTCGCCTCTCTTCAGCCGCGCTCATCTTCCACCCTGCTTTCTTTATTATTCCCTCTTTTATTTATTCTTTACCCTCTTTGGCTTCCACTCTTGAGTTCTGTTGCAATATACGACGCAAGAACCAGCAGACAAACTATACAACAATAAAATAACCCTCCGTTGAGCAGCGTTTAATCCAATAAGCAGCCAGTTAATACTGAATCACCCTAAGATGAATATGGCTTGATGCTGATGATGTAAACGGGGGTTTGAAGTGTGCCGTGTTGTTCATGTTCCCGACCCGTTTAGAGGTGCGTCATATTTCATGTCGGACAACTTGGTACCCGCAGTTTTTCAGTGCATGTGTAATCATTTCATCAAATCCCCCCACGTGTCCTCCTCTCTGTCCTGTGTGAAAAACACAAGCCGCTCTTTGTTCCGTCAGAAGCGATCGCAGCGATAAGTGTGACTGATGTCTGCAGGCCCGGACAGACACACGGCGTATAATTGAGTGATAGGGACTAAACGTAAGCGAGCGGCTGATGTGATCCACAGCAGAGGCGCCCGGTAATACCAGCAACAACAGCCACCAAGATTACCATCCGCTGGCTGGCTGGCTGGCTGCGTGCGTGTGTGTCTCAGGTTATCGCTCTTTTCGTCTTCTTTCCATCCCGGCGTCTTCTCCTTCTCAGCTTACCAGTGTAGTCTGTTGGTCCTGCGTCTTCCTCCCCTCCCTCCCTCCCTCCCTCCCTCTCCGCCGTTATCTCGGCTCTTTAATTAGGGTGACATGCTGTGAAGTGAGACGCTAAATAATGCAGGCCTTCCCAGTGACATCGAATCAGCCGTAGTGATTAGCGGCCACACACGACGCCTGCGATGCCCTTTCCGTTGCGAGGACCTGCACAGAGACGGGGCTCGATTAGACAAACACACGCTGGGTGGAGGCCGGCGCATTCCACGCGGCGTTCGCATCGAGGTTAGGGCAACAGTGTGAATGCAGTACCACAAAGTGCTTGAATGCAGCGGCCTGATGACGCGGCGCCGGTGGACCCCCGTATCTGCTCGAGCAGCGGACGTCACGGAGCGGAGGGCTTAATTTGTGCAGGCGGGGGATCGAGGTTATCCCAAAGCAATTGTTTCAGACCAAACCAAGTGGAAAATCCTGTGTGGGTTTTAGTTGTGTGCTGCCTCGGCTGCAGCGATGCTAAGAGCCCTTCTACCCCCCCCGTCTGCTTTTAATCAGATAGCTTGTTCAGGAGTGGGGGGGGATTAAGACCGCTGCTGCTGCCACTGCTGATGACTGTGGGGGTAAATCTGTTTCTCTCTCTCTCGCTCGCTCTCGGCGTCTCTCTGTGGACGGTGGCGTTTGTCTCTGGACGGCGGCGGCGATCTGCCACGTCTCGTCGTTGCCGTGTGATTTGAGCCGTGAGATTTCTGACACAGACTCGCTCTCTCAGCGCCAGACACTCGCACCGAGGCACTGCAGATGGCAGAGAGTGGGGGGGGTCTTACTGATGGAAAGATGCTCGGGGTGAAAGCAGAGTAATACGTGACAGAATGAATGAACTGGAAGCAGACGGGGAATCAAGGAGAGGGGACACTCAGATTAAAGGAGGGAAGGAACAGTGACCCTAAGGAAAGGAGGCAAGGTAAGTATGAAAGGATAGAGACATTGAGCCGCATGTTGACTCGATGCCGCGTGCAGCTTAGCCAGCGGATCAGTCTCCTCCCACTTTAATCCCCCCATCGGCCATCAATGCGTCCCTCCGCCCCTCCATTCGTTTCTGTTCATCAATATGAAATCAAAGCAATCTGCTGTTGGAGTCGGCTTTGTACTTTGTGCAACGGGCGAAAACTAAAAGCAGGAAAACCACAAATAAATCAGGCCGGTAAGAAAACGTAAGACTGATGTTTTAAGTGTTTGTCGTGAGTTAAGATTCATTTGTGAACTCACACACACTCGCAGAGACAAGCACGCACACACCAAAACAAACCCCCGGCAATGAGTGTGTGGTCCTAATGAAGCGAGGAGAGAGAGGCAGCTGCATAACCGGAGTGTAAAGGCCTGGAGGGAACTCGCACACTTTAACACAGCGTTTGGGTGTGTGCACATACAGGGATTTAATAACCCAAACCCTCTTAATATGGAGAGTCTAATGACTGCATTTCTTTAACCCTCTCTCTCTCTCTCTCTCTCTCTCTCCGTGCAGGTTGTGAGGACCTGTTTCTAGCAGCGAGGCAGTGAGCTCACGGTGGATACAGCATGCATGTGTCGACGTATCCCATGATGCACTCTGCCAGTCCAGGCCTGCTCCTCCTCAGCTTCCTCTTCCTCGCCGATGCCGACTGTGAGTGCCCCTCCCCCCTCACAGGGTTCTCACATACAGCTGCCCACAGATGAACACACGCATGGGGAGCAACGGTTGTGTTTATAAAAGCAGTGCGTGTCTTATAAAAGCACGCATGCACGAGCACACGCGGCGGCTGGAATGACCTGATTTCCTCCCACAAACAGCTCCACTCCTGATAACGCGTGTGCGTGTGTGCGTGTGTGTGTGCGTGTGTGTGTGTGCGTGTGTGTGCGCGCGTGTGTGTGTTGGGTAGCATGTTTGATACGTGGCCAGCTGTTTTTGTCCAGTATTACTCGGCACGGACCAACAGACCACATATGGCGAATCAGATCATTTTTCCACTGTTGGTACGATTGTGTTGAAAACCATGTGTGTGTGTGTGTAGGTGTGTGATCCCTGATTATGGCTGGTCCTATGCACATTAGGATGGTGGTTTTGAGCCGTATGCTGGTTTAATTGAGGCTGTAGCTACTGATTATCTCTATTATTAATTAACCTGCTGACAGTTTTCTAAATGAATTCTAAGAGCCTACACGTTGATGTCCTCAGATTGCTTGTTTTGTCCTGCGAAACAGTCCACGACCCACAGATGTTCAGTTTGAGAAATGGAACCTGAATGCCAAAATGAAGGTATTATTAATGAACGTATGTCATTTAGACATAGGATTATATCAGCTTGAAAGTGTGTCTTCGACAACCACTGCTCTGGTGTTCGGTATAATAAATCAAACCTACAGTAAGGAAGGAAACAAACAGAAAACAAGGCAATCGCTGTATAATGCACTTAAAACCAAAATGAAACATAATGTTTACTGGGTTTCTCATGTTGCGTTATCACTGTTCCAGAGTGTAAAGAGGAAGCTAGTTAACATTAGTTAGTCAGAGACGTGTGTGCAGGATGATGTATTCTTGCAGTCTTCAGTAAACATGTTCAGTTAAACCAACCACCGTCTAAATCTACACCCACCGAGATCGCACAGTTGTTAGCGGCTAGCGGTTAGCCAAGAGTAGTGCGCAAAGAGTCCACGTCCGCTTAAAGCAGGGGACAAATGGCGTTTGGAAGAACTTTGAGTCACCACATCCATCACGGGCCATTTAACACGCAGCCATTA